TTCCTTGGAGAAGAGTAAAGATGTTTATTTAATTAACTGACTTATTTAGAGACAGGGTATCACTTATATCTCAAGCTGCCCTCAAATCCTCCATCCTCGTACCTCTGTCTCTCAGGCACTGAGATTACAGACATGCCACCACAACCACCTGTGTTTCCAACTCCAAGCGGACCCAACAGCCTTTTCTGGCCTCCAAAAGCACTGCGCTCACATACACACATATACAAACAATTAAAAATAAAAACACCGGGCATGGTGGCAGCACTTGGGAGCCAGGGGCAGGAGGAGCTCTGTAAATTCAACACCAGCCTGGTCAACAGAGTGAGTTCCAGGACAGTCAGAGCTACACAGTGAGATCCAGAGAGAGAGAGAGAGAGAGAGAGAGAGAGAGAGAGAGAGAGAAACAATATTAAAAAAATAAATAAATAAATTTTATGGGGTCAGCTAGATAGCTCAGAGCCTAAGGCATGAGTTCTGTTTCTGGACCCCCTACAGAAGTGGAAGGAAAGATCAATTCCACATATCTGTCTTCTGACTTCCACACATACATATAACCACATAATACATAAAAATTTAATTTAAAAACATTTTTTTGAGTTCTACCTTGAAAGGAAGGAAAAAGATGTGATCTTTTAAAAATGATTTATTTATTTTTATTTTATGTGCATTGGTGTTTGCCATGCAGGTATGCCTGTGAGGGTGTTAGATCCCCTGGAACTGGAGTTACAGACAGTTGCTAGCTACCATGTAGGTGCTGGGAATTGAAACCAGGTTCTCTGAAACAGCAGTCAGTGCTCTTAACCATTGAGCCATCTCTCTAACCCCCAGAGTTGTGATTTTTAAGAAAAAAGAAAGAAAAAAATTAAATACTTTTTAAAATAAACTGGAAGAATCAACAAAGAATAAAAGTGGAGATGCTAATAAAATAACAGAAGCAAAAGAATATAATTATCCATTATTTATGACCAAAAGCTCCTTGGGGACAGGATTTATGACCATCCTGCAACCCTCATAATGCTGAGCATAGTGGGCAATCAAAATAATATAGATACTCAATTAATGAGCACAAATAATGGGCTAATAATGATGCAGGATATCCTTATGTAGATGTGTTGCTTTTATTGGTTGATGAATAAAGCTGTTTTGGCCAATGACTTAGCAGAGTAGAGCCAGGAGGGAAGTCCAAACAGAGATAGAGAGAGTGAGTAGGCAGAGTCAAGCAGACGCCAGTTAGCCACTGAGGAAACAAGACAAGTAGAAAATGAGGTAACTTCACAGCCACGTGGGTTAATTTAAGATTTAAGAGCTAGCTAGGAATACGTCTGAGCCACTGACCAAACAGTGATGTAATTAATATAGTTTCTGTAAGATTATTTGGGTCTGGGTAGCCAGAAATGGAAGCACAGTCTCCATCTACAGTGGAGATGTTCAATAAAATAACAGAAACAAAGGAATATAATTATCCATTATTTATGGCTAAAAGCTCCTTGGGGACAGGATTAATGACAATGTTGAGCATAGTGGACAATCAAAATAATATAGATACTTAATTAATGAGGATACATAATGGCCAAGCAAGCAGAAAACAGTAAGGGCAGACTGAAAGCAACCCAACTGAAGGTTCTACTCAAGATTCCAGAGCTCAACATACCTAATGCTACGGGGAAAAAAGAGTCCTAGCCTTGGCTGTCTGGCTGAAAGATAGGCCGATTCTCTGGGTGGGTGTCTAGGAAATCTACAAGCAGTAAAATAGAAAGGGAAGCAATTTTTATGAAACTCATACAAAGACTCCCCACTCCTACCCCACACTCTGGTGAGATTTCTATGAGATTGCTATATACCCTAAGTTCAAGGTAGATGGACAGAATATAGCCTTTTATTTTGTAGGCTGATGTGGAAGATACTTAAGGATGCCCTGCCTTTTTAAACTATTAAAAGGCATTTGCTTGTCTAAAAGTGGTTTAAAAGCCTGAATTGTTTCCCAAGGCTTTGTGTGCTAGAGACAAAGACTTTACCACTGACTGAGCTATACCCCACCCTCGAGTCCTAAGAGGTCCGAACAGCTCACATCACGACTGTTTCCTAAGCATGTGGAATAGAGAAACAGAGCACAGTCAACAGGAAGGCTGACTGGAGCCCTGTCCCAAGTGGTTGCCAAGGATGGAGTATTCGAGGTCCCCAACAGTAAGATAATTCCACAGCCCCAATATTCACTACGGTTGTTTCAAAAACTGTTTTTGTTGTTGTTGTTGTTGTTGTTTGTTTTTCGAGACAGGGTTTCTCTGTGGCTTTGGAACCTGTCCTGGAACTAGCTCTTGTAGACCAGGCTGGTCTCGAACTCACAGAGATCCGCCTGCCTCTGCCTCCCAAGTGCTGGGATGAAGGCGTGTGCCATCACCGCCCAGCACGAAAAACTGCTTTTTATTTACTCGTTTTTATTTGTTTAAAATTTGTAAGAAGCTTACATGGTTTATTTTGTGTGCGGATGTGTGTGTGTGTGTGTGTGTGTGTGTCTGTGTGTGTCTGTGTGTGAGAGATCATGCACTTGTGTAAAGGTCAGAGGGCAACTCACAGGATTTAGTTCTCTCCTACCATGTGGGTTCTGGAGACCAAACTCATGTCAGGCTTGGCAATGAGCACCCTTACCCACTAAGCCATCTCAGTGGACTTTCTTTTAAATGAATTATCTTCCACATTTCTTTGTTGAGAGGTTAAACCAGGAAACAAATGCTCAAACACTGGCAAAGGCATTACAATCAGACAGGCTGTAACAGGCTCCACCTATCCTTCCAGGTGACAAACTCTGTTCCGGCATTTTTCTGGCTATGCACAGTAAGAATGTCCTGGAAATCTGAATATGGAGCTAAATGCTGGCTCGGTGGTTAAGAGCACTGGCTGCTCTTCCAGGGACCCAGTCACTCTCCCAGAGATTGTTTTTCCACACTGTAAAGGATTTTATAGTGTAGTGGGAAATGGAGGGACGGAAAACAAGTTCCATAAATTCCTCATCGCCACTAGTCCCGCCTAATAACGCTGCTGCCTTCACAGTCGGGGCCGGAAAGACTAGGCCCGGCAGGCATCGTTCTCTGCCTCCGGTCGCACGCCCTTTCATCGCACACAGATCTTTGCGTCAAATCCCCTATATTCCCAGTTCCATCAGATCACACCCCGCCCCGTCAGCTTTGGGGGGGGAAGTACTGGGGATTGAACTCAGCACCCCCCTCCCACCGCACACAGTAAGACAAGCGAGAACTCATTGGGCTATATCCCCAACCCTACTGTTGGTTTGTTTTTTTTAAAGAGCATCTTCCTAGGTTGCCGAGGCTGACCTAGAACTCCCTCTGCAGGTCCTGAATTGCAATCGTTTTGACTCAACCTCCCAAGTAACTGGGATTACTTGCCGTGCAATTCGAAACTCTTAATGAAACCCTAATATTCACTATTATTTAAAGATTCGGCGGACGGGGGTTTCAAGGCCCAAGGTAGCATTATACGGCATTTGTGCCTTCTTAATTCCCCCAGGGAAATTCCCCAAAGGTTCAACTAATCTATTCACTAGCCTCCAAACTACCAGTACACCTGGCCTGGATTACGTCCGCACATGCCCAGATTCCATGACTTTTGCCATCGCTTTAAAGATCAGTCCAGATCCCCTAACGCACCTCTGTCGCTCACTCTGCTCCTGGCTGTCCGCTGTCAAGCTCATCGCTTGTCAGATGGCTTCAGCCAAATCAAAGTTGCTCGGAAGGCAGCTCACATATGAACACAAAGACAACCACAACGCGCTGCATTCGGCAGGTCAAATATTAGTAAAAATCGTGAGGGCTTCAAATAGTGATCTTAGCAGAACGAGATAATACTGCCTATCTCTCTTTTATTCACAGAAAAAGAAAGAAAAGAAAAAAGGAGGAAAAAAACACCTTACGCCTTTATTACAAGACTGAAAATTTGTAGTATACACAGAGCGGGGTAAAGTGGAGGGAGTACGCCACTAATTGCAAAAACAAAACAAAACAAAAAACAAAGCGAAGAAAAACGTGCATCCAAACCTGGTTTGGCCATAATCTCTGCAATCGTAAGAAAAATCACTGAACTCTCTCTGAACCTGTCTTGTCTTAGGTGTGAAACAAGGCAGATGCTGTGCGGGATCCCAAGGTATCTTTCGGCTCCCCAATCCCCCTGTCTGCTCACGCTCACTCCCGACCAGACAGGCAAACTTTTACAGCACCCAATGCTCATTGCCCTAGTCCAGGAAACTCGGTCCCCGCGAGGACGGCGCTGCAGGGTAAGAAGCGGTCTCCCACGACTCCCCGGATCCCCCCACCTCATGGCACCGGGCCCGCCTCAGGTGGCCGGCCGCTCCGGGAGGACAGCGGGAGTGCGCGGCTCCCAGAGCAGCCGCGCTGCCTCGGACGGCCCCGAGACCCCCTACACTTGTGGCGTCCGCCCAGCGATCCCAGGGCACCGTCCCCGTCCGCCCTCCCCGCCAGGCCCGACC